CAATAATAATAATAATAACAATACATAATAATAATAATAATAATAATAATAATAATAATAATAATAATAATAATAATAATAATAATAATAATAATAATAATAATGACCACAGAAAAACATTTAATTTATGGCTAAATCTACCATATTTGTATCATTTAGTCAACCAATAATTATTCAACAACTCAGTAATTATGCTAATAATTAGTTATTTATGGTTAATCTAAAAAAAAGTTCAGTAATATATGTGTTGGTGTGTGTTTGGGTGTGTCTGTGCATGTGTGTGTCTGTGTGTGTATGATTGAAAAGATAAGCAAAAATGAATGGAACTGTTCGATGATATTTTAACAGCTGCTATGTAAAAACAAAAAAAAGTTGAAGTGGATGAAATAGATTTGACTGATAATAATACATGCATATATTTGCCCAGCTGATGATTTGTACATGATATCTGATCAGGACCATTACGAGAGTTTACAAAAAGAATATGGGAAATATCGGGAATATCGGGAGTATTTGTTGATCGTCTTCTTTGACTCTTCTCTCATTTACCTCGTTCCCTCGACCATTTCTCCCTCTCTCATTATCATTACATTCAATCATATGTTGGAAGACATTTTTGTATTATTTTTAGAAAAATTTCCCGAACTACTATATCGTGAGAAACTTTCGGTAAATTTATAATGGTTATTCATGTATGTAAGCATGTATTTCAGTAAAATTAATTTAAAAATTTCTTACCATTTAAGTGCAGCCTGTAATTAAATAATATTTGAGGTAAATTCCTTTTAGGAAATATTTATTTCAAGCTTTTCAAATTCTTCAAAAAGTAAACGAATTTGTTAAATCAATGGATGATATATCATTATTGATTGCTATAATTATTACCATCATTCCTTTTATTATTATTATTATTATTATTATTATTATTATTATTATTATTATTATTATTATTATTATTATTATTATTATTATTATTATTATTATTATTATTATTATTATTATTATTATTATTATTATTATTATTATTAT